GCTTGGACATTGTGTTGTCATGTTTGTGCAATTCAAATCTTTCTCAGCAAAAGCAACTCCGATCTAAGACCCATCTGATCCGTGGTGTCTTGCTGATAGGTAGTGATGCTGATTTGGCAGTTTGTGACATACTCCTGCTTAGATTGAACAAATAAGTGTGGGCCGATGGGTTGCTGAAGTTGGGCCCTGCTCACGCTCAAGGGCCCGACTTCAACTGAAAAAGGATACAGGGCCAAGGTCCAGTCAGGTCAATCGACATTGGACAGGGGATTGATGATCGGGTTCTCTTTCTTGGACCATGCTGTCATCGCAAACTGCCGTGCCCACTGGGAGTGTGGCTCAACGATATGCACAGCAGAAAATGGATGACGAAAGGCCTGAACTTTTCTGAAGCTTTGAAGTCTTCAGAGGTGGATGAAGACGAGGACCTCTGCCTCTCTTGGCCGCCGCTGCCTGAGGGAACGTGTCATGCACTGATCCATCTGCAATTGGACCCCCTCAGGGAAGGAGGGACAGTTTGGCGCAGTTTGGCACGTGCACGTCTCATACAGGCAGGAACACAACCCAAAGAACTTACCATTCTCCTGTTGCACGTCTCCTCCGGAACGAAACACCCTGGCGATCACCTCTGGGCATCACATCCAGAGGCAGCCTCTCTGGCCAGCCCTTCAGCCGACTCAGGCAGCCTCTCTGGCAGCCAGCCCTCTAGTGCACTTACATCATTCTATCTCTACTTGTTTGGATTAAACATCCTAATGGCTTACCTCATCCACACACAACTATCACTCGAAGTCCAAGACTAAGCTGGAGACGTGGAAGGTTCGCAATTCAACCACAAAACCAAAGGAAGGTGAAATGGTTCTGCGGGGCACTTTCGGCAGATCCGGCAGGGGAACGTCACGCGCGCCAATCCTACTATACAGGATCACATTTTGATGGCACACAGGAATCGAGACAATACATGGCATATAGATACTTTTTGATTAAAATAATCGAGGATCTGGAAGGGCCATGTGTGCCATCATAGTGGTCAGTTGATGCTTGGGGGGATCGGCCTTGTAATCTACTAGAGCCGTTTGGCTGGTGTGCCATCTTATTATTTGTTCCAGGCCTTAAGGGTGTTGTACTCTGTTTGCTGGTCTCTCTCTCTCTCTCTGTCTCTCTCTCTTCCTGCGTTAGTGCATATCATTTCCTCACGTGTGGTGTGCCATCTTAGCGTTCCTATGTTCAATGCATACCGCTCTTTCCTCGCGCCCTTTCAACTGCCTTTGTCCTTGCCTTTCTATTTAGTATGCTTTTCATGCCCTTTAGCCTGTGTGGACATACTTCAAGTATTTGCCAGGGGTTCCAGGACGTCCTTAGTTAGTCCTTTCCTGTCTGTATAGTGTCTTTCCTTTGCTCCTTCTCTTGGACTTCATTCAATTTGTTGGATTCTAGTATGAGACTAGCTCACTCTCAATCTCACTCTCTCACTCTATCTCTAACTCCATCTCTCTCTCTCTCTCTGTGGTGTGCCATCTTAGCGTTCCTATGCTCAATGCATTTCATGATTCTCCCTTCCTCACTCCCTGCCTCTTCTTTCCCTTTTGCTTTGTGCCCTTCTCTGGCAGCAGGCCCACCATTGTTGTATATATATATATATATAATGGTCCTCTCCTTTCAATATGCTGTTCCTGCGTTAGTGCATATCATCTCCTCACTCCCTTCTTCCCCCTCCCTCCCTCTCTCCCTGCTTGCCTTCCTCCCTCTCCTTTCCTTTTTTTCTTTTGTGAATGCAACCCCAGCACTCTCAAAGAACCCGGCTCTCACAGCGGCCCTGTCATTGCTTCAGTGTATTGGTATGCCATTTTAGTGTTCCTATTGTCAAGGCTCAATTTTGCACTGTGCCTTATATGGCACAACCGATGTCCACAACCGATGTCCATTCAAAACAAACCTAATTACATCTAATCTAATCAAATCATCAAGCGCCTATATATATATATATATACGCTTTTGGGCAATGTTTCCGCAAGAAGTCTCTTGGTCAAAGTCCAGATTTCGTTTAATCAGCTTCCATCAGGACTGCCTCGGTGGCAGTAGGTGCTCTTGGTCGGGGATTGCTCCGCGTGTTAACGCGTGGTTTGCTTGATTCTGGCTGTGGGTACCCTGGGTACCCTTGTTTATATTTTCAGAGCTCGGGTGTACTGTTCTCTTGATTGAGTTTATCTTTTTCCCACCCACGTATATACTGTACAAACGCGTAGCGTGTGTCCAAGAGCATGCAAGTCATCGGTGGAAGATCCTAAAGCGCGACGCATCTCAACGTTTCTCTTGCTGGAACTTTCGCCTATTGCGGATAGACGGATAGACAGCGTGCTGTGAGAGCTGAAGGTGTGCCGAGTCTTTTAGTATATAGAGAGGACGAAAAGGAAGAACATCAAGATAAGAGTTAAGAGGAAATCCAACTTGGTCTGAGCTCATGACCCTGCCACAGGCCATTGTGCAGGGGAGGAATGGTCGGAGCCGTCGCATGGTGGTGGGGTCCAGCGGTCAGTACCACCATTGCCAGAAATCGAACATGTTTTCCCTTGGGAATCGTTTCACTGGGAATCAGTTAACAAGAAGCTTTTTAGTATGTCTTGCAAGCTTCTTAGTACTTAGTAACAAGAAGCTACTAGGTTGAAGGCCATCGATACTAGTAACAAGAAGCTGTTTAGGTCTTTGAAGCTTCTTAGCAACAAGAAGCTACTAGATTGAAGGCCATCGCTACTAGTAACAAGAAGCGTTTTAGGTCTTTGAAGCTTCTTAGTAACAAGAAGCTACTAGGTTGAAGGCCATCACTACTAGTAACAAGAAGCTTTTTTAGGTCTTTGAAGTTTCTTAGTAACAAGAAGCTACTAGGTTGAAGGCCATCACCAATAGATACTAATAGTAACAAGAAACTGTTTAGGTCTTTGAAGCTTCTTAGTAACAAGAAGCTACTAGGTTGAAGACCATCGCTACTAGTAAGAACAAGCTTTTTGTCTCTTTGAAGCTTCTTAGTAACAAGAAGCTACTAGGTTGAAGGCCATCGCTACTCTTTGAAGCTTCTTAGTAACAAAGCTTTCTAGTAACCAATCCCAGAAATCGAGCATGTTATGTCCAGGAACAACAACATCCACATCGGACGAGGACGCAGGTCGCACGCAGGTCGTCACATGAAACAACTCTGGAGGTCGGGAAAACGGTTGGGTCAAGCCATCGGCTGGCGGAAGACTGGCCCGTCCGTGTGGCTGGAAGACTGGCCCGTCCCAAGTCGAGGAGCCAAGGTAGAAAAGAGCATTCGTCGGTGTGGCCAAAGGGGGCGCATTGGGGCTTTGCACTGCCCAAGAGATGTGGAATTGACGCTCAAGCGAATGCAACTCTTGAGCGAAGGTTCACACCAGCGGTAGCCAAAAGCCACAGTGAGACGCCAGGTTTGATTCTGCATGTTGAAAAGCACGACGCTCGCTGCCACGTTCGCGGCCACATTCGCGGCCAGGTTCGCTTCCGTGCGCGCTTGGTTGGCCCGCTTGGGCCTCTGGCCACTCGTGGGTCCGCCGGATCAGTGATCGTTGCGACCGCCTCATCGGTGGGGTCGCTCATCGGAGAAAGAGATGGTGGATAGTGGTCCAATAGCGATAGACACGATTTCCAACACTCTTTTTTGGACAGGGCGTTCACCTTTTAGAATCTTGTATATCTATTTGGGGCCCTTTAGAGGGAGTGTAGGCCAAGTGTTAAGCAGCGATTTGTTGTTCATCCGCAAAACAAAGTATCTCTGTAGTAGGAGAAAGCAGCTGTCCAGGGTATTGATTATGTTGACAATAGCAAAGAGTAAAACAGCATCTTGGCCAGTTGGACACAAATCGGTCACTTCTTCTTGTGCCCCAACTGGTCCAGCAAGTCTATAGTCAAGCAACTGCCTTCCTGCCTTCATTCTAAGGCTCCTCCGCTTCCAAACGCAACCTCCACACTTCGCGGCGACCTCAGCCCATCCGCTCTCAACCGGACTTCAGCGGCGACTTCCCGCTGAGGCGTGGCGCCAGCAGCGCCGCGTGGTCGACCCGTCGGCGACACCTGGGTCGTTGAAGACCGTCAACGCCCCGACGTGGCGCAGAGGAGCATGGCCCGCCGTGGCGACCCGCTGTACGCGACGGCACGGCGATGGACATTGGCAGGCAGGGCCGCGCGGCACAGCGATTGATCTTTTTCGCACCGCACGAATCCAAGTCGCTCAATCCAAATCCTTATCCAAGCGTTCCAGAAGGCAAAATGCCAAAAATGGGTGGCCCTGCAAAAGAAGGAGGGCTTTAATGCCAGAGTGATCTACACGGTAATTTTTTTCCTCACCAAGGTAATTAGACTCAGCCAGCCCAGAATCTTACTTCATGCAAAGGCCACCATCAGCCATCCATGCGTCTCATGCTTCTCACAAGCACGCGATGGCATGCTCTTGCTCTTCTGCCCGCAAAAAACGATGGCTCAGTATTGCGAAAGCTGAGAAAGAGGCATCATTGATGGTGTGTCTCGTAAACCAGTACCAACGAAACTACCCATCAGTTTCCAGGAGGTAGGAACGATGCTCAATACATTCGATACACATGTTCCGTATATAAAAATCCATCTTCCGTCCAAGGAACATGAAGGAAATGTTTCGGCCGTTCGGCCATGCCACGGCCCATCATCATGCCTGAAATCCATCTTCGCTCTACAAATTCGAAACTCAAGCTGGGTGGCCCCCAGCTGGGTCACTGTGCTACCGGTCTCGGTGATCTGATTTTTAAGACTCAAATGGATGATTGTTGGGGGGAGTCAACGGAGTGACTACGAGTGACTCCAGTTTTGTTTGGCTGCTTTCGTGTTGGTTGCCGCGGCGTAGCACTGTGTGAGCCCACTACAAATTGAAACTGCCAGCAGCTGGCGATGCCTTTGGAGTTGCACGGAATTTGCGTCCAAGTGCTTCTGCAGATTTGGCTGACCTATGAAACATGATACATGGAGTTTCTCTTGCAAATTCCACTCTGGCCAGATCCAGCTAAACTCAATACTCCAGAAAAATTATTGAGCAGCATTTTCCCATCACATGTATGCTGTCATCAACATTCTTGGCGACCATAGCTCGCTCCATGTTGCGAAACACGAACCACATGGTCCTCGTGGTGCAATCGCTCGAACGAACGGCCTGGAGCACATGAAATTGTTTGGAACGGCTCCAGGTGATTTTGTAAGAATTGAGAAGTGCATGAACCCTTACAACCCATTTATAAGGGCCTCAAGGCCACCCATTTCATAGTGGAAATGGGAATGGTGATAGAAGTGCCTCTTTCTCTTGGAAGATTCAACCATATTCAACCGATTTGACCACAGACTCACTCAACTGGTCTTGTCTATGACTCACTCAACTGGTCTTGTGCGCTGGTCTTCTCGTTCGGAGCCCACCAAGTGACCACACAGTCGAATTGGCGACTGCTCTCGGAGCCCGACACCCAGCCACCTACTTTTGCATGATAGCTGGGGGAAGTGCTCCAAGTGTGTGCTAAAAGAAGTGACATGAAAATTGGTACTGATAGACTCATATACATTGAATACAGGTCTATATATACCAAAGTAGAACACCTTCCACCAGGTCACCAGGCGATGTGATCAAAAATTGCTTTAAAGATCTTTAAAGTCTCCTCATTCTGAGACAACCCCACAAACATGATCCCCGCCCACAGAGCTTCTCTGTGGGCTCGTGGGGGGTTTGTGGGACTACCTGTCTGGCAACCAGATCTGGGAAAACCCAAACTCTGAACTCGCAGTCTCCCTCTTCCATCCTCTTCCTCCCGAAAACCACACCCGTCCGACCGGCCCAGCCTCAAACCTTTTCAAGGCGTTCTTTCACCATCGATGCCAGGGAGTCAGACGTCTTCTTGGCGTCGCCCAGCAACATCTCAGTGTTCTCCTCCACCAGCGGCTAGGTGACGTGTGGGCGTTTGAGACCACCAGTCAACTGAGTGCCCTCTTCCTCTTCCGACTTGACCGGAAAATGGTACCCCATGTTTGAGCCATAGCCATGTCTGTAAGAATAGATCCAGGATCTGGTACTTTTGAACCAGAGTAACCGGAACTCCAAAGGGATGGCTTTGGCACCCGAAGTGAAATGATCTGGCTTGGGGTTCTCACAAATTGTGTCGTGGGAGCGGCATGAAGTCAAGGCGACGGATCCTGCCCCTTCATGTTCAGAGGCCGGCTTCCGGCCCTCGTCAAACGGGCCCCACATGGCCAAATGTAAAACGGTTTGGTCAGCTTTCGTGGAATCGCAGGCATGACCAGAATAACCACTACCAGGTGATGCTCTTCCATCTCTTTCACTCTAATTACATGACAGCTGCCACATAAACGACTGGCAAACGATAGGAAATGCCTGAAACCTGCTGCCGAAACGACCAATCGCAGGAGCTTGCCAAAACTGCTGACGTCGAATCCGAAGGTCCTTGTAGAAGACCGGATTGTCAAGATCTGCGTAACCTGCCAGAAACGTTGGATCTCCCTACGTGTTGAAGGCTGAGGCGTATCCGCTGTATCCAAAATATGGTGAATCGGTGGAACAGCATTTCAACGAACTACATAGAGTGGGGGGAAGTGAACCATGAAATTCCATTAAATTCCCAACCCTTGGTGGCAGATGCTCACCAGAATGAGGAGCAACAAAGGCTAATGCTGATGCTAAAAATAGCTTCCAGGCTTCCAGGTCAACTTTGCTCATGTTAATCCTGGTAAAGCATGGTAAAGCCAATTGTACTCTGTTCCCAAACTCAGGCCCCCAACTCAACCCCACAAAGCCAGGGCCCTGAAGAAACCATGTCCTCACTTTCACCCAGTGATTGCACAACCCACTTCAACCCACATACCGGGTGGCGCCTCCGCCCATGGAGCGCTTGCAGAAGATCACCTTCTTGGAACGCCAGACCTCGATCACCGGCATTCCCCAAATGGCGCAGCCTTCGATCTCCTGCCACGCCACAGCCGCCACGCCGATGGCGAGGAAAGAGCGCCAAAAAACCCGGCGCCCCCCCTCTTCGGAGGCGGATCGCTTCGAAGCACCGGTGTTGACCGGTGCAGGCAAACTGGCGAACATGAATGAAAGCATAAAACCTTGGGTCGGTTGGGTGAGGGGAACGATGACGGACTCAGGCTGCTTGCAAACACTCGGAATGGGATGTCAAAAATGCAAAACGAAGTGGGAAGCAAAACAAAAAACCTGGAAATTAAGTTAATTCAGCATCATGGAAAACCCTACGATTGCTAGTCTGCAGTCCTTCCTCAGTCCGTTCTCATTGTCCTTTGAAATGTGTGACACTGTTACCATCTGTTACCCCTGTAGCCCCGCCTTCGCCTCACATGTTCAATCAAGGCCAGGAGCCCCTAGTAGCGTCCTTGCTCCTAGTCATGTATTGCAAAACACCAGGACCTCTTTTCGTGACCGTTTCAGGCCCCATCCGGGCGAGCCCGTCACCCCATGAGGCTTCCCGGCTCTCCTGCGCTGCGGAGTTCACCACGTCGTTGGCGCCCACCACCAAGACCACGTCGTTGCTTTCCATGTCGGGGTTCCTCGAATGGAACGAAGAACCAACCGCCCCCGTTTGAGCGGACAGGTCAGTTGTTGTTGCGTGTTTTTTCCCGTTTGGGCGAGCTCTGTGCTGCATCATCCAAGACAAACTGGGTTGATGTATGTTGATGTATGTTGCTGTATCCGTTCAATTGGGTTTGATGCTGGCGATGACCTCCTTGCCGACACTACTTAACCTGGATCTAACATACTCCGACTGAAGCGCTGTAACTGCAACCCTTCAGGCAGCCATGCACGGTCGTCACCAGACCTCTCACTGCTCCGCCCACGACCAAGAACTCTTCCACAACACCAAAGCCCTAAGAAGTTTCCACATGCATGTACATCTTCGGGGTTCCACACCAAGAGCCCTCCCTATGAAATAGAAAAGGCCGGCTGGCCCCAGGTTGGGATCCTGAGGAGGGAATTCCTCCGAATGTCGACAATCGATTTATAAATATACCCTGAATGAAGCTAACCAAACCAAATCTCCAATTATCACTAAACCCTGATTGACCCAGATCAAGCTGCTTCTGTGTCCCTCTATATGCTGTTTCTATGCTAAAACAAGTGATACAAAAACACGTGATTGATTACTGGATTCCTTGGAAAAGGCAGCAAAAATGATATTTGATCTTAAATGATTCTAAATTGTAGAAGATTAAAATCAACTACTGTATATAAACAACATGTTTGATGGTGGATCAAAATCTATTTGAGCTTCGAGAGAGGGGGCGAGGTCCCCCTATCTATAAATCAGAGGTGAACATTACAGCTCCCCCCAAGCTGTTTTTTCAATACGACGTCCTCCTCCACTGGTGTTCGTCTCCCCCAAAACCACCGATACGTCGGCCGAAGTACACTTCGTCCATCTCCAGGACCCACTCATGGGGCACTCCAGCCTGGCGACCGACCGGCAGACGGGCGGATCCAACGGACCGGCACAAGGTCCGGAGCCCAGATATATAAGAGGACGACAAGTCTGGAAGAACCACGGCCCAAAAACCTGTCTGGATAGCATGGTGACCGTGGTGAAATTGCCAATACAAGATGACCGTGGTGAATTTGCTGATAGAGTCTTTGAACCCCAAGCATGTACTTGTTCTTCATGACAAGCTCACACCTGCTCTGAGAAGATGTTCCATCATATGCCATCCACAGAATACTTCCACATGAAGCAGGCGCCTCCGCCAGAAGCACGTTCATCTGCCCGGGCATGCGGCCAGCCACAGGGTGGACTCCTCAGGTTAGGTCAGGTGATCCTCCAATAGGTGGTACCAAACATCCATTTTAAAATCATTTAACAAAAAATAACAAAATATAAAAAAATAACCAATATTCCAATCTATTATTGCTTCCAAGTCGCCAAACTTCAACTTGATGTTGTTGGCCCTCAACGTGGATGCCAACTCGCCCATCGCGGTCCTGTCGCCCGGTCGTGGGTCCTCCACTTTCCCCAGTCTGGCGGAGGTGGAGATCCGAAGAAACACCCCCCGTCTTGCGCTTTTTCGTCGATCGTGTCACACCCGTCTAGTACATTCACACCCTCCTGCGCCCGGCCCTGGGCCGGATAGGTGAAGGTTTCAGTTGGAGCAGGCCCCTGCCTTTTTCGCCGGAGACATCAAGCTTGTTGGGCAAAGGAGGGGCCATCGGTGCGGGACATGGAGAAGGGTCTGGAATCGACGGGCATCGTTTTGGGGTAACGACGCGAGATGAGCAGTTCGACCTTTCTCCCACCCATCTCTCTGCGGGCTCCGATCACATCCGAAGACCCTTCAAAAGGGGACAGGAAAGGTCTGCCAAACAGCCGAGATGCTGGGCCCTTGCCATGGCCATACCATATCCAGGCACCACCAGCACTTCCTGCCAAGGAAGTCAAGCAAGGCTTCAAGGTGGCACGGATCCGGTCAATGTTTGAAGGCAGCAACTGAAAGGGTGGGGAGAGTGTCACGAGTCCAAAGTACTTCAAGGGAAAAGGGACATCGTAGGACATCGTCCTGTCCATTTGACGGCAAGTTTGAGAAAAGCACCAGTTGTGCAACTCTCCCAAGAAACCCTCACCATTCAGGCACCCCCTAGGCACCTCCTACTGGAAAAGAATGTACTCAAGTGTTCGTTACTAGATTTACTAGTAGGACTTTATAAAGGGGGTAGAAATTCTGGATGGTTGATGGGATTCCGAGTACGAACAATAAGTTTGATGACTCACACCTCATCTTGGACATGGGCCCACTTGTTTCATTCCAAAGCAAAACCTCATTTCGAGATATTTCGAGGAGGAAAACTGAAGAAACCTAAAATACCGAGATACACCAGCTAAGCCACTTCAGGCGCAACTTGTATAACTGAGAGGAGTTCTCAAACATGTCCGTTGTCAGATTCTCAAGAGTGGACCAACGCATCGAAGCGGAGATCCAATCAATTTTGAGAGACAACTCACTGGAATCTCATCACCAAAACCCCACCATGTGGACTCTTGATGATGTTTCAAAGCATTTGGATTGAAGAATCTCTTCCAAACTCTTCCGATGGGTACAGCGGGTAGCTTCTATAATTCTATATTTGTCAAACCCCGGTCGCCTCTGCGGGTCGCCTCCGCGGCGCGACGCGCGTTCTTCCGCGCCTTGGCGGCACAGAGCATCTCGGCCACCGCCGCCACGGAGGTCTCCACGTGCTCCTTGGGTCCCGTGTCACCTGAAAGGCCAAACGCGGACGTTGCACGGTGGTGCCCAACGCGGGTCAGCGGGATCTGCCGTCAAAGCTCCCCAACGGGCGGAAACGAAGTGGTTTCAACACGTTCCAGGACGTCCTTCCTGACCCAACTTCAAACAGAACTTCGCAGCTGGAAGTTGGAAGACCGAGCAATTGGAAGACCCTCCTGTCGGTGTGTAGATGTGTAGGCCGGGTGACCTACCCTACCGGTTGGACGAGGACAGCGCTAAACCCCCATGGGATCCCCTGCGGAAACTCCACTTCAAACCGGAGCGATTCCGGCTCCATGCAATCACGCGGCCGGCCGCAGCTGCCGGTGAGCTGTTGAGGCCTCCGAAGAGCACGTTCCTGAGGTCGCCGAGAAAAGCTCAGTAGGCAAAAACAACAAAAAGTGGATCATAGTGGATCCAAGTATGGTGGACGGCGGACAGGGAAAGAAGCGAAGATACTGCACCGTTCATGTTCAATGTACTGAAATGCATTGCAATAGATCAAGACCCTGCAACCCAATGGGTTTGAGGTTTGAGTTACTTGTCCTTTGAAAGAGCTTTGAAAGAGCTTTGGATGTCCTTTTTCCGGTCTTTCAGGCCACCCAGTGGTGAACATCGGGAACAGGGTGGGGAGATTCACCCGGTCACCAACGAGCTTGCTCGTTTGCTCGTACGTCCAGAGATGCCATGAATTGCCACGGTGCGAAGCTTCGTCCCAATGACCCGCTTCGTGGGGTCACCCATCCACACACACACAAGAAGCAAAGCAAATCAAACCCATAGGACGTCAGGAGCATTCAAAAACAACTGTCACTCTTATGTTCAGGGGATTCTTGAGACTATAGGATGGTGTTCTGAAAGCGGAGTTTATTACTCTGAAAGTAGACGGTACAACCGAAATGCGGTTTAGGTCCGACATCTACAGCAGTCCTGCAAGTTCTATCAACCAAACCCACTTAGTGGGTTTACCTTGGACACCGTGGATGGTCCTCGGATGAGTGTGTGAAAATCGCTTGGCAGATCTATGCAGATCTCATCATGTGGATGCGAGCTTCCTAAGAGACTGCTGCCTCGAACCCAAACTCCATCTGGACCACATATATACCACCGACGACTGCTGCCCATGGCCCCCTTCAACAGCTTGCTTTTGAAGCGGTGCCAAGGCTCATGATATCTCGATTCATGGCATCGCACCTGGGTCAGTCAGGATGATAGTTTTTTCCATTGGGGATCTGGAACCAACAACCAGCTGGAACACGGCTCTTTCAGGGACCCAGCACATCCGACAGATCCTCCGACCCTTCCCAACACAGGAAAAACCAGTGGGGTGCTTGGCAGTAAACCTCGAACAATGAATCCAACCAGCACATAGTAGAATATGTCCAGCATATAATGTATTGTATGTCCTCGTCATTCCTCATCAGCTTCAGGGTTCGGATGGTCCGGCCAGGCTTGGTCGGGTCGGCTGCTTGGGAGCTCCGAAGTCCGTCTTCGGAGTCGGAACTCTCCACGGTCTGCGGATGTGGGTCTCATCCAAGAAAGCCACGAAGCGTGGATATGGCAGGCAAAAGTGTTAGAAGTACCTCCAAACAGAGGTGAAAAACATGCAGTAACAATACATGAAAGGGTCTCCCAAAGAATCACAATCTCAAAGCCGTACATTGCCATAGTTTAAGCAGCTATTGCTCCGCTAATTCTGGGCAATCCACTGTGGATCCACCCAACTTCACCGGTCTTGTTGTTCCATTGATGCGACTCTTCTTCAAACATCAAATGGGTACAAGTATTTATGTGAAATTTCAAAGGAGACACCCCCAATCACTGGGTTTGGGGTCTGTTTTAGTCTATCTTCCTTTCTATATATGTTTTGGCCGGTCTCGGCCTTCTGATCCAATCCCAGATCCGGGTCCAGGCACATGATCTTGGTGAGGATGGCTCCGCTGAAGCCGATCAAGGAACCCACGATCGTCAGCACCGGGCTCTTCAGCAAGAAGCCCTGCCGGTGGAGGTGAGAATCTGCTTCGTCGACGTGGGGAGAAATCAGCCAAGGACATCTTTCTGGCAAAACTGCGTGGAAAATGGTCCGGAGTCCACACATGATTTGGTTGCACCTGTTGTTATTTGCATGTTTCTGCTTGGTCTGAGACCCAAACTCCCATGGCCTGATCCTGTTTGACATCCACCCAAAGATCAGCAAGACTGGCAGTTCAACAATGCTTTTGCTTTACCAAATCAACCCTCATCCAACCCTCATATGGGTCCGACTTCCCGGTTCGACCCCGGTCTGACGGTCTGCAAAACCCGTCGCCTCTGCCACCAAGGCCCAGCCGGAATAGGAGTTCAGCACGGTGATGCAAACCGGCATGTCTCCACCACCCACGGAGCCCACCAAATGAACGCCCATGACCTACGAAAAAGGTCGCAGAAAACATGGATCCTTCCAAAAACGCAGAACAAAAAACTCAAAAAATGAAAAGCAAACAAACTTCGAGAGTTTCAACCTGGGGAAAGACACACTCTTCTGGATGTTTCTCAACTTGGTCATGGAAAACCAAGGCCATTTTCCAACAAGGCTTCTCTTATACCGGAACGGAACAGAAAACACGGATATCACCCTTACTGTCAAGCCTTGCCCCGCTTATCCTAGGTGGTCGAGATTGGCTGACCGCTACCGCCGGGAGCTCCAGTGGAGCTCTTAGAGCAGCTCCAAGTCGGGGGGGTTTGGTGGTTTGTCCATGAGGCCATTGAACCAAGCTGTGGTGGAGAGCAATACGAGAATGTTCTTCTGCTGGGTTCTCTGTAGTGCATGAATAGTTTCTGTGGCGTCAGTTTCTACATACAATGCGATGATGCGATGTCAAAACTGCATGACATCCATTATTGTGGTATTGTTTGTCCCCCACAGTGGCCTAGTGGTTGATCCTGCCCAACGCATCTCTGCATATCTCTGCACTTCCCATGCTTCCATCCTGCCAAGTGGCACATGCCAAAATGGCCACAAGCCAAAGGATCAACACGCCACCGGCTCCTGGTCGCCAACTCACCAAGCAGACTTCGAGGCGAGTGGTTTTCGGGTGAGGCGAGGGCCCTCTTTTTCGTGGTTTTCGGGCCGACGAAAGAATCGCCACAAGCTGATGGACCGATGGATGTCTCATGTGATCCAAGCAGGGAAATCATGTTGCAACGCTGCTCCAACCCAGGGCATGTTGTAGACCTGTGTTGTCTTTGCCCAGCACACGTCGACGCAAAAAGAACATTATAGAACATGAAAACAGAATCCAAACGCCGTCTGGAGTAGAAACAGAAAAGCTTCGATGATGTTTACTTCAGGTTCCAAATCTTCTTCACCAAGGATATGTTTTTTGAAAGAAGTCACCGTGTTTTCAGGTCAAAAGAAGTCGCCGGGGCCACTTCTGGAAGGCTCAGCGACTTCTTAAGAGATGACCTGTCATGCAAAGCCCTGTCTGGGAATATGATCCCAAGAGGAGGAAGGTGTGGATACCCTCCACTTTGGTATGTATCATTATGTTTCTGATAGAAAATCCCTCCAACCATCAAAGTGGGAAAGGCCCATTGAAAGCTAACATATATAGTTTATCCGTCTTAATCATGTTTCAGCCTGTTCCTAGACATACTAAGTCGTGTTCAGCTGCCATCAGGGCATCTGAAGGAAAGATGTTCCCATGTCTTCGTCTCATCTACTGTGGCTTCAGCATGGATATTCTTTTGAACACATGCCGCCCAAGGGAACTGGACATGTATTTTGGATCGATCCATTCTTTCTCTGGGTGCAAACAGCAGGCTGTTCCGCAGCTTCAGACCGAATGAAAGGATCCACAAGAATGTCTGACGCGCAGGTGGTAGGTTGAAGCAATTCAGATTGAGACGCAAGGGGCTGTGTTTTTTCGTTTCGCCATGCATCCGTTGCTGACATCCACAGCAAACAAAGAAGGGGGGGCTCAAATCCTGTTGCTGACACAAGGGGCTGTGCTGTTGCGAACCCCCCGCGAAGCACCTCCGACAAAGGTGGGCCACAAGTACCGGAGCCTGGAGAGTTCAGGAACGCGTAAATGAAGTAGATGAAAAGGAACAGGCCACCCAAGTTCAGGAAGTTCTTGCCTGCTCCGTTGCGGAGTCTCGTGCTGGAAAAGAGACTGTCTGGAGTTCCCAGGTGAATCGTTGTGTGACAGTCCCTGGTTGGTATATAGTTCTGAAAAAAACTCTAGAAACACAAAAGACGAAACACTGCATGGTGAGGCGAACGGTCAATTAAATAAGCTACTTGAAGCCAATAATTAGCCAGCCAATAGTCCATCACCACATGGATTGCGGATGTATCCAATGCCTTTTCAAGGATCCTCAAGAGGCCTCATCAAGGACCCACTGACGAATGGATTGTTGAAAAATTCTGCCAGTTTTTAGACTGGGCGAACAACAGAAGGCTGAGGAACGGGTTCAAATGGAGGTTTTGAAGAAGCCAAGTACCAGCCAAGTCACAAGACCTGTGCAATAACCAACTGAAATGAATTTGCAGTGCTTTTTAGTACCCTCGGTCAAACTCAGCTAAACCAAAGTACACGGTGTGCAACTGCGCGGTGTACTTTGGTTTCAGCAACCGGCTGAACATCATGGCCCTCAAACAGATCGACATTCAAACGAAAAAAACAGCAGGACCTGCACTGCAGCAACGTATTGATATACATGTATATGTTTTTAAATAGTCAGGAGTCAGGAGTATATATATAATATATGAAAAACATATATACTATACTACTTTGATCTTGGTGCAAATAGAATTCCCCCTGGTGTTGGCCTTATCTTTGTAGAATGGCTCATCTGCACCTATATAACTTGGACTGACTATCAACCTCACTGACTTCTCTTTCTGAAAACATCCACTCCGACCAACTCCACTTACCAACCCGGACCCCACTTCGCCACTCCCCTGCGAAGAAAACCGGTAAAGAAAACCCACCGTGTCGCCAACCGCGATCTCCGGTAACGGTGCAGGCCTGGGAGGTCCAGCGGCTTGGACGCCAAGTTGCCATTCAACTTGCCGAAGGCAATGAGACCTGGACGGGCGACGGGCAGATGGTTCAGGGCCGAAGAAACGGGACGTTGAGGGAGTCCGGCCGCAGAGAGAGGCGGGCCCCCCAACAAAACAACAAAAACACACGGCATGAGAGGCGGAGAGGCACCGGAAAAGGATTCTCTTTGCTCCATGTCAATGGGATTGCTAAAGGCTGTAGATTAGATGCTGGAGTTCGGTGGGTCTGTATGGTCTGTTTTGGAGCGTCCAGGCTAATGAGGGTCAATATTGATGGCTGCAACGGGGGTATTGGTTCTCATCATACATGCGAAAGCATGTGGTGTTGCCATTCACCTTTGTTAAGGGGTTGGAGGTTCCAAATAAAATCAAACAAATACAGTGTTCAGTAGCCGGATTCCAACTGCTATTCAGTAGTTGGACCAAAGTTCATCTCTGAGTCAGGTTGTGAAAGTGGCGAAAATGCCAAGAGAGTTCATCATGAGCCGGTCTGACAACAGCCAGCAAAGCGCCATGTTGCATGCGAATGAGTGATCCGCTCCCCATCCAACGAGTGTTCCCACCCGCATGGAGTTGGCTGTGGTTCTGGCCATCAATCAAAAAATAAAAGACCCGAAACCCAAGGTTGCTAGGTCTTTGGTCTACGTTCAATTTGCCTGCTACCACATACCACCGAGGCACCCTGCCTAAAGCATCCCAAAGCCTCAAACCGACCACCTCACATGTGCCCAAACATCCACGAAAAAGAAAGCATCCACCTCACCCAAACCCCTCAACCCACCCTCCCTCACCCCCCTCCCCATTTGGAAAAGAACCGTTGTTTTCTTCTTCCAGGCGGCTGCCGGTGAGTGTGACGCCACCAATAAAGTCGCCCAGCACGGCGGCCACGTTCTCCATGGAGGCACCGGCCTCGGGAGTGTTCACAAAGGAGCCGATGGACGTGCCTCGGTCGGCCGCAGCGGACCGCGTCTCGGCACCCGGTGCCTGGGATGGGAGGGAGTGGGAGGGCATCGAACAAGACCGGTGTGTGTTTTTCAGGGGCAAAACGATCGGCCTAAAAAAGGGGTGTCTGTATACATGTTCCCTGAAAAGCAATTCTGAGATATTCTGAGAACTGAGAAGCCCTTCCACCATCAATATGAGTTTGCTCCCACCAAGACTCACCAAGATCAAGATCCCGCACAAAATAGACGGATACATCGAACTCGATGGAATGTTCCAGTCTTGGTAGTTTCCCCCCAACAATGCCCCAACTCCAAAAAGGAACACGTCTCAGAAAGTCTCCCCATCCTCATCCAGGTGGCACATGGCCGCCAGACCGACCAAGGAGTGGAAGGCGGCCACGGTCTGCGGCAACGCAATGGGGCTCACCTCACGGCACCCGTCTGGCGTCAGTGGCTTTCGGCCCGGTCTGGTGTCCTTCTTGAAAAAACATGGGCAAAGGCTGAGAGAAGATGGAGAAGTTGGCCTGGCTGAAACAGGCCTGTGAGTGTAAAGAGAGATACACTAAGGCCTTGTACAGGTTGGGGGTGTCCGTTCTTACCTGCAACAGTCAGTACGCAAGTATCACTATTTTAGAACAAGGCCTTTACTAACGATCATCATTCACTGTTACTGGTAATAGGATAGACCCAAATTTTAGGCATAGCCTGTATGTTCTTTCAGGTTCCATACCATCTACACACTGTGTCCTTGGTGTCAAGTTTGTCGGTCGCCCATCTCATGGTGCCATGGCTTGTGCCATCTCACCCCAATCAACGGCACCGGTCCGGCCTTCATGCCCAGCACCAGTCCGGCACCGCCGCCCACGATCAGGAGGATGGTACTAATGACGAAGCTGCCCTCATTGAGGCCTCACTCGTCGGTCCGAAGGCCGAAGCGGAGACGACGCCGGCCGAGGGGGCCGAACGCGCTGGGTGTTTTTGGAGCAAAACGAAGATGGGGAGTTTCCTTCCCAGCGACATGCTGGCCATGTGGCCGGTGAGGGAGAGTGAGGGGGTGTCTCTCAAGACTGGTTCGATCCATAAAATAAGTGATAATATTCCGACCTGCTTGGGTCTATATCTGCCGACGTGGGATGGCTTTTCGGATCTTGGTTTTATCATATTTTATCTTTTGTGGTTTTCCAGCGATAGGGATTGCCTTCCCAAGCCACACCATCCACGGGGTCGACCCTTCTAAATGCGCATTGAAAACGCCTCAACATGCACGCCGAGTGACTCACCATGGCCGCGGCCATGGCGCCAAAGACGCCCACCATACCTCACCGCGTGTGATTCACGGCATGATGTGAACGGGTCTTGCACCGGGCGCAACGAAAACGACAAAGACGAAGACGCACCAACAAGAAAAAGAATGAGTCTTACTGTTTGTGACTCTGAAGATGGGACTGGGGGCCAGATTTGATGCGGAACTTCATTTGAGTGAAGCTGGTAGAGATAACACACTCTTGGCAAAACACCAAAAAGGTTGATCTGTCATGTTCCACGGAAGCATTTGAAGGTTCTGGAACCGGGCACCAGAATGACCCAAACCATTTAAACACGACAACACCTGCCACTGAGACCGGATTTCCCAAACGTGCCAAGGAGCCAAACTTGCATCCCGAATTCGCGGTGGACCTGAGCGTGGGTCGAAAAGGATAGAAGCAAGCCAACAGGTGGAGTGCTCACGGTGGCATGGATTAAAATGATTCAAAACAACGATACACAATTATTGTGTTCTGTAGTATGAAGGGATTCAAGGAACTATATCTTAAGTTCATGGTGTGAAAAAAAGGAGGGATGTATGGTATTAATAGTGCTCACTGATCTGCTATCGTTCAGAATCAGTGGTGCCACGTCGGCAGCCTGGTGTTAAAATAGTTTAAAAACCTCACGCCGCAAGTAACAATGATGGGCGTTCTGACCGCCAGCACTGCAAAAGCTGTTTTTTTTCACGCATTCTATTAATTAATAGCTTCTTGTTACTACTAGTAAGGCACCTGTACTACTAGCGTGGCACTTGTTTCTAATAGCTTCTTGTTACTAACATCCCAAAGGTTCGCCCGGATCTTAGGATCTTCCTCCACATACCCGTGAAACGGCTTGCTCGGCAAGCCTCCATTCCTTTCGAGTGAAGCCACAAGCTGAGTGTTGGTTCACTCTGGTTGCAACACATCTTCCTGTTTTTCAATGGGATTTTCGGATTTTCCTCCAAAACACCTGTGGGTGTTGGGCGGACTTTGTTTTCACCCGTCTACGACCGACCGGCACGGCGAAAACGGCCGCGGCAAACACCGGGGCGCATGGTTGCCAGGCCCCCGATGGCTGCAATGCACAGCAGGGCAGACACGATGCTCACCGCCTCAGTCAGAGCGAGGCCGAAGGGGGTCGAGGCTTTCGGGCATCGATCCATCGGAGATGACGGTCATCGCAGAGTGCCCGGTCAATGGATATGACTGGTAACCAGTTCTTCCAGTTCTTCTGGTTTCATCGGATATGATGAAGTCACACTGATGGTCACCAGTTGCTGGATGAAAAGCAGGCTCTGCCCGGCCAGCTCTTTGGAGCGAACCAGGTTGCAACGACATGTGACCACCAGACATATCCGGACATATCCAGACCAGACCGGCAGTATGGCACCATCACGTGTGGCGACCGGGTGGGTGTATCATGGTACATGTATAATCCCCCCATTTTGAGGAGGAGGAGGAGGCCAGGATTATGGTCAGAATCTGATTCCTGCAATATTCGACACCTTTACCACAGCAGCTACCTGATTGATGCTACAGGTCAAACTATGACCTGTTTGAGCCTTTTGGGTGATGTATTTTCAATATTTTTCTGCACTGCTTTGGGGAAGAAAACCGTGAGCCACACCGCCTCCGCCTCGCACGAGCTTTCAGCCGTGGTGCTTTCAGCAGCTCGGGCTTGGTGAGGCACACGATGAGGAACACCAAGCCAGGCAGGAGCATGAAGGGGGAGTAGTCCTTCTCTCCCTCCTTCCTGAGCAGAATGCAGGTCACTTCCCCTACTAGTACTGTCCCCAAGTAAGCCAGGGCGAAAAAAGATCGATACGCGTCCGACCATGGAGCACGGACCGATCCGTTCAACACCCGAGGCTCTTGAAGAGGTTCAACATCCGTTGCGACACCACGAAGCCGCCGATGATGTTCACGGCGGAGACCAAGATTGCCACCAGGGCCAACAGCTGGGCGAAGTAGGAGTCCCTCAGAGGAGGAAGGCGGCAGGCCCCAGTGGCGGGCCGATCCGGATGGGCTCAGTTTGGTTTGGAGTTTGGACTCGGTGTGGTTTCGGAAAGGATGGGGGTTTTCACGGTGGCTTTGGGAGTTGAACTTACTTAGATGAGCAAATTCACTTGGACAGCAATTCTGGGAGATGGTTTGTAGCGGCATGTTTATGTTCTTTTTGTGTGTGACTCTCTCCAACACTCATGGAAGTGGACGTTCTTGGGTTCTGGAAAGATCCTTCTTCTCTACCAACCGGGGAAGCACGGTTGTTTCGGGTTTCACCTGAAAGATCGCCATGGTCATTTGCACAGTCCCTCCAGAAGGACTCGCCTTGGCAATCAACGGGCCCATGTTCTCATGTCTATCTGGTCAGCATGGTATATAATAGTTCAATTTAAATTTATATACCGGACCGTATTATAATATATATTATAGTTATTCATTTGGCCGTGGGCCAAAACCCCGGACCCTGGTTTTTCCCCGTGCAAGATGGACAGATTCCTCGTCTGTGAGAGATGGCAACCTCCAAAAAAGTGTCGTTAAAAGGCGAGGCTTTGACCCAACAGCCACCTAACATCCTCAAGCCGACCCCGACGTCCCTGCCGGTTCCGCGGTCTCGTCGTCTCGTCGGCTTCGTCGTGACTCGTCGTGACTTGTCGGTTTCGAACGGCGGCCCAGCTGCGAACGGTCCAGCAGGAGAAGCCCGCCAATGGCTGTCATGCCACTGATGGCGTTCGTCACCTCGAGTCGAGCGAACTGTCTACTTCAGAGCATAGAACTGCTGAGGACTGCTGAGGACTGCATCCAGATGCATCAAATTTCTAAAATTATTTTGTTGTTGCTATGAGCAGTATTAATCAATCCGTAGATTACCCAGGTGGGGTTGGGACCCTGTCTTCTAGCACAGAAACGGTGAGACATGGAATTGACCACTGGAAAATGGGTAGACATCCAGCTAGATGGGCTACAAATTCAACAAAAGTATGATTATGAGTCTTTGGACATCAAACATTAGATAATCAAGGAATGTACCTTGAGAGTCATGTTTTCCATTTACTACTGGGCTGATTGGAGTTAACAAAATCAGTTAAATGGAGGTCGGGGCCGGGGGAAAAGAATGTCCAATCCACAAGCACGAGAGGATCCCCCGCACAAGCTCCTGGCCAAACGCAAGTAAGTTGTCAAGAAATTATGCCAGCATAGACCCCAAACAGCTTCACTTTTGTTGCGTCACCTCCTGGAATTCCAATGTTGGTGGTAACGTAAACTGAATCCCAACAGTAAACTGTTCGGGGAAAAGTACCACCTCCTGAAAGCAGAGCAAGCGCACCCGACGGCTCGAACGCCCGCGCTGCCCAGTGGCCGACATCAGCGGGGTGTGCAGCGCATGTGCGACGCCCCAAACGGCTTGGTATCCCGCAGCACCCGCCTTTCAGCACAGATGGGTCTCATTGGAAGACCGGTCCCATGTGTAACTTGCTTGAGCGAACCTATATGAAATGAATGGGAGCACAAAACATCTGCCTTTGGTGATCGGAATTCCAAGTAGTGTACATCATTCTCTCACTTGGGATTTGGGAAGGTTGTGACGACAGCTGAGTTATCAGCAGACTCGAACCCCAGAGAGCTCAAGCGGCAAAGGGACTCAAAAGGTCTTATCTCTGATATTCTCTGACTTGGATGAAGTGGTTCTTTTCCTTCCCTCAGCAACCCTTGCAAGCTCCATCCATCATTCGTAGCCTTCGTCTGAGGGAGAGAACATGCAAACGACTGTAGCAAAAATATCTGAAGCTGCATACCGCATACAAAACACAAAATGCACCTCTCTGTCGAGCGAGGCAGGACGGCTAGACGGTCTATCCATCCGTGACCGGATTGGTGAAGACAAGAGGCGTCGACCATGTGACCATCGATGGACGACTGGAAAAGCTCTGAACACCGAAGACGAGAAGAAGATGACACGTTGAGTGCTCTTCAAACAAACCAAGAGGCCAGCAAGAAGGTACTCAGCAAGGCTGTGGAAACTCCTTCACCTGAGGAAGGATCAGAGAACGTAAGGGAGGAAAAAACTTTTGTTCTGCAACAGTGGGGAGTGTTTTGTAATATGGAGGGCCCCCAACCAATAAGTCTTGCCTACTAGCTTAGTTTTAATTACGATATGTGTTGTTTGTTCTTGTATTTTCTGCCCTCATGAACATCAACAATTCCTACATGTTGCTGTTGCTCCACATATCTATATAGTCTTAAGATTGTCTTAAGACGTTTTGTCAAGGACCTCTATGGTTCGACGTTCTGCATCCAATATCACCTCTAACTACATCCAAATACCTAAAATCAGTTAAAATATATTGAAATATATCAAAATCAATTAAAACATAAGTTTATTACCTAACTACATCCAAAATATGCTTAAATCGCCCGTGCCTCCCCCAACACTGGAGTTCCAGGCTCCCAGACCCAGTCCCACCATGCAGCACACCGTGAAGGTCAAGACCGTGGCGGAGATCAGAGCTGGCCGACCGACCGTGAGAGAACGCGCAAATGAGAGGTTAGGCGCTGCTTTGGATTCGAAGAGATCTGTTTGGAACATGGGTTTGAAGACCATGCCAACAATGACATATAATGACAACGACTCAGGTGAAACTGGGTTTAGGCTTTACGAATTCCTCTCACATTCACGTCTCGACCATTCAGCACCCTCGCGCGGGCACCCCGCCTGATTGGAAGGGGCTTGCACTCTTCTTGGCCTGCTCCTGCAGTACAGTTTTCGAAGGCTCACATGCCCAAACCTTCACCCTGTTCCTGGTCTGCTGACACATGCAGCTTGAGTGCTTGAGACACAATTTGTTGATGCGGTGAAGAACATCCACAAACCCAACCAGTCAGGCATCACCCAGCTGGGTCTGGCAACCTAATAACAGGAGATCAGCTGGGTGCCAATAGTGAAAGGTCTCTTGTGATTCTCTTTGAAGACAAGGGAGGTCTCATTTTTTGACTCCGTGGAAGAGATCTTCGACCCGAAACACATCAAGGGGATTTTCTCCAAGACTCAAAGCTTTATCCCCTTATACGGTGCCACAAGGTGTAGTCAGTATAGTTTGAATATATTGTGTGTAGATATTTAAAGAATCATAGTAGTTGTATAATAAATATATATATATATATACCAGGACCCTCCTGTCGGGGTGTCCAATGAAGTACCCCACAATACCTATAGGCTTCCATTGACCACCCCTTGGAGGGTCCTGGTAGTGATTCCCTGTTACTCCAAATGCATCTCCATGGTTCCTCATTCATTGGAACCTGGACCTGCGCTCTGGGCCCGCCCCACACCCGCCTGCGCGCTCACCGGCTTGGGCTTGATGGGTGTGGGCTGTGGCGGTGGCGGCATGGCCACCTCGCTCCAGGTCGGACCAGTGGGATTTGGGGGAAGGAGGTTGGATAGGAGAAATATAGAAGGTTGGATAGGAGGTTGGAAGGAGATTGGGCAAAGTTTACAGGCGTATTCTGTTTTCCATGGGCGGGATTGGATATATGTGTGGCGGCGGGATTAGATCTTTGTGCCCATCTGTTGTGCATAAGCCCTGCGTTCCTCTACGAAGCCAGGATCCTATAGTACTTGTAGGATGCGCTTCAACTGCAAAAAGGCAAACGTGGTGGTTCTGAGGCCAAAAAGCTAGGACCTGAGGACGCCCGGCCCAAACGTGTTCCTTCGCCCATTGGTTGAAAGCGACTCCAAAATCGAGAAGCGAAGTGAATGCCTCTTTCAAAAAGTACTCGAAATAATTGTCATATATATATATAATAATATAATATATTAATGTATTGAAATATATATGTTGGCATTGTGTGTGCCATGCCCATCTACGATCCTTCCAGCCCACCGCCCGTCCAGCGAACCTCGGGGCCAAGGTGCCGGGTTTCCGCTCTTGCAGCACACGATGGAGCGTGACACGATGTCGCCGTCCTCGCCCTGGTCCAAGGCGCCATAGAGATTGCTGATGAAGGCGCCAGCTTTTCCTCGCAATAAATCAGAAAAAACTATCAAACAAGCACACACGTGTGTGTGATTGGTGATCTGATGGGACTGCGGTGATCTGAAAGGACTGAGGTTGGTCGAAAGGAGTGAGGTTTTCGTGTGGCTTTGCTGGTCAGCCAGACGAGGATGTGAATGGATGAAGGATGTGGGCGATCTTGTGACGGCCTTACTCCCCTGGTTGAAGGGAAATGGGCCACCGACTCGAGATCAATGAACAAAACGAGTCCAAATTGTTCGGCTCAGGTCTTCAGATGTGACATGTTCTGGAATGACCAAGAGCATCTAAGAGCAACAAATTGATGGGCAATGTGAAGCTACTAGGAGCAAAGGGCATCGCTACTAGTAGCTCCTGGCCTTACTACTAGTAACAAGAAGCTACTAAGCTACTATAGTAACAAAGGGCATCGCTACTGGTTACTAGTCATATATAACTCCTGCACCACCCGAGTATTTTCGAATTGTCAATCCCTGATGCACCTCAGGCGGTCTCCACCCATGCAGGTCCTTTGGCGTGGATGTGGCGCAAAAGGTTGGCCATGTTCTGCGCATACATGGCACTCGCTTGCTCCGCCATTCGTGCTGGCAGGTTGGCAAAGCCTGGCCGCACGAATGGAATACACAAGGACGCGCACGCGAAAAAGGACCCGGTCAGGAGCTGAAAGGATCCATCAGTTCAGCTTGCGAGACTCAGCAATCTCCATGCCAGAGTCTCAGATTGAAGACCAATTTCTACCATTCATATCTTCACATGTTTTCAAGAAACCTCCCCAAACATCTTTCGCCCTGAACCTTCTCCCCAAGTCCCAACCCACACCCATCCCACACCACCGAAACTTCACCCACACACCACCGCTTCGCACGGACGCCCCGCACCGATGATGGTCACCCCGTTCTCGGTGACGTAGGTCTCGTTGAGCCGCGTGAGCTCGCAGTTGCCACCGCCGATGGCGGCCTCGGGGGGCGAGGCAGGCGGGCGCGGCGGGTCCGGTCGAGGCGAAGGTCCGGTCGGTTCGTTTGGACTGTCATCAGTTCGGTTTTGGTATATACAAGTTGGACGGAAGGGGGGTGAGGGGGGAAGGAATTTGAGGATCATTCTGGAGTGTCGGATGTTTCAAATTTCACTGGAAAAAGAAACCTGAGAGCCGAGCAATGTCAGAAACCTGTTTGCCTCGTTCTGCCTCTGACCCATACACCATAGTCAACCCGGTGATAAACGATTCAAAGAATTGCAATCCTCTGCCATAGCTCCCTGTGCCTTTCTCATCTTGATCCTGAAAGGTCCAAGATCCATCAACAGCACCACGCCAGGATTTCACATGTGACCTTTCACTGCCAAGGGGCCAAGTCCACGACGACACTCCCAGCCTTCATAGCAGCGACCGCGTCCTTGGTGATCAGCAAGGGTGAGGGCCTGGCGTTGACGCGTCTTCGAGGATGGCAGGACTGGCATCGCTCACCACACATGGAAGTCTGTGGGCATCTGCGCCAGAACACTTCGGGTGTTGCTCTCCCCCTTTAGGTGGACATGGAGTGCCAAAGTCTTCTATTCCAGGCAAACTTGGACCCACACACCCAGGCGTCTCAATTCGTCTCATCCGCCGGAGTTCGCTTGTCTGACAGCCAGCAAACCATCGGTTGTACGAATCCAAGTCGAACAGAAAACGCCCCGTCTTTTCCCAGATGTTGGACAAGCGACCCCAACACACGTAAGTCCCAAAAACATCCAAATCAAAACGAATCAACACACCTACAAACCTCTGCGCCCTTGGCTTTCAGCTCCAGTCATTTGGAAAGAAAAACCACTCGGCCTCCCAGGAATTGCCGCCGTGCTAATGGCGATGTCCACTTCACTGAGGACCTTCTTGAAGGTCTCCTTCATTATGAGTGAGGAGGTGTCCAAAATGGGTTCACAAACTCCACATGTCTGTCTGTAGCTTCCGCCAGGTACATCCGTCTCTCTCTCTCTCTCTCTAGCTAAATTACTTTCTCACCTGGTCTATGTGGTGATTTGCCCAGCAGGTGTGTGACTTCACAGCCATGCTAGAGTCACGGCGGATGGGTTGCCTAATATGGCGGGAAATTGTAGTTGTAATATGTTGTAATTCTATGAGATTGCTGTGGCTTTCCACGCCCATGGCTTCCGCTTTGAAGACAGCTCTGCACTAACGTTTCAGGATGGGCACAGAATCCGAGAAGCCATGCTGGCCCTTCACAAGGACGCGGCGGCGCAACGATTCCCGGGGGAGTTGAACTCCACCAAACCACGTGCGTGTGGTCGCATCCTCCCCCAAGGATGCATTGTAGGTGCTGCACCTGACACCTGCAACCTCGTGGTTGTTTTTTTGGGGTCGGTGGTTCAACAATATACCTTTATATAGGTCTGTGAACCACATAAACATCCGCAACCGAAATAAACATCCGCTTTATAAACATAGAAAGAAAAACATGTCCGGAAAAAAACAAAAATCACATTGCTTACCAATAAACGCCCTTAGCTTGTGTATAAACGCCCGTGGAATATCATACAAAATCAGAAAACTAGAGAAACATCCGCAGGCGCAAATATAAGGCTGTGACTCCAAAAAATGTTTTTCACGCCGCAGATCGACAAAAAAAGCACTCTCAGAAAGTTCCAGGCATTAGTACAGCTAGTTTACTCCTCCTCGGGTCTCTTTTTGGGATCGGCGACAGGCGGTTGGACACCTGGTCCATCCCTGTCTCTGATTGGTCGTTTTTATTGGTGTGAGTGTGCATGTGTACGTTCTCTGTGTATGTACGGACCAGTGTGTCCGGCATACCATCGACGCAGACCGTCCGATGCGAGTGATAGTAGTATGTGGTAATTCTTGAAAAAAAACATGGAATCCATCGATATCATCGGTGCTGATGTCAAGTGTCTCTTGTGTTGGCACTCAACGGACACCCAACAAATGAAATGACAAGTCGTCTCTAATCGTCCTTCGATGATCACCCCACTAGGCAAGCCCAAACGATTGGGGTGGTCAGCAAACAGGTCTCTGTACTCAACATTACTTAACCCTTTGGTTTCGTCACCCCTTCTCCCCGGTTTCTCGGTTTCTCGGAATCTCCTGCTGGACTTTCTTGAAGGCGTCTGAGCTCTCCTTGGCATAGCCTCCTTGCCCCTCGCCACTCTCTTTGAAGTCCACAGCCACCCACTTGGCGCCCATCGAATGGACCTGACGCGTCTGCCACGTCGTGTCGGGGCCGGGTGGGCTCCGGGATGTGACAGAGACTTTGGGGCAACTGCGACAGGACAACACCATTGTGGCACAATCTTCAGAGACAAATGCCTGAGGATGACTCTAGACTCTGAATGCTGATTCGCACCACTCATCCTGGGCAAACTCACTTGATTTGGGCACGCGAGTGCCGAGCTCCGGAGCCCCGGAGACGTCGTGCCTGGTCCGAGACGTCGCGCACGTCCCAAGCGCGCACCACCGAGCCCATGGCCTGACGGAGTGGCTACCGCCGGCCGGCGAGGGCGGCATGCGAACGCGACGTTCGAGTCGCGATGCCCTTTGCTCCGTTCGTAGCGTTCTTGTTACGTTCGTAGTATAAGAATGCTCCTAGTAGCGATGCCAGGAGCCCCTAGTAGCGTCCTTGCTCCTAGTAGTAAGGCCAGGACAGCTTCTTGCTACTATAGTAGTAAGGCCAGGAACTACGTTCGTAGCGTCCTTGCTATACTAGTAATGCCATTGCTACGTTGGTAGCGATGCACTTGTTATCACTATGGATGACGATGGATATGCCTCTTTTTTCCTCTAAGGGGGTTTGGCCGGGGGAGGGACTTTAAAACAAGGCATGAAATGGAAGTGAGGAAACATGGCATGAACATGGCATGAGGATTTGAGGAATTGAACCATGAGCCAGGTGGTATGCGTGCTATGTCAACTTGAACGTGGGATGAGGATTTAAACTTGATCTACTCTTCAACGAACCTGGGAGATGAACTTGGCCAGTGTCCTTCTTCCTCCGTGAGGCACACGCCTTGGAGGTGCCAATGGCTGCGAGCCCGGCCACACCACAGCCCAGCACGAAGGTTTGCGCCGGGGGGTACTTGCCTCAGTACGATCAGGTCCCAACTTTCGGGAGGTGCAAAAGGCAAAGGTTGGTGGATGGCGCAAAAAGGTTACTGTACATAAATCAGCTGAGCGTACCAAAGTAGCACACAAAGTACACTTCAGTAGCAGGAGGATGCAGGAGCAGCAAAAATCTGGGTGCATTTTCATGGTATCGATGTCCATCAGTCGTAGGAGAGTTGCAGTCAATGTGGGCTTCCAGCCAGGGATCTGCAAATCGATACTGTGTGAGGATGGATCAAGACCCCTTCGTTCGTAACTGCCCTATTGCCCCAGTAGACATGGAAGTTGAGACAATGGCAGGCCCTATTGCCCAATCAACGCCCGTGTTTTAATACCATCCCTCAGTCCATGTGCCTGCTGCGGTCATCTCGGCAGTGTGAAAGCGCTGATAAGAATGTGCTGCCTGCGAAGTCTAGTCCAATGTCCAACTGCTGCTGATCCTTTTACTGCTGCTGATCAATCCAGCGCTCGCTCGCTCCCGGCCTCCAGGACCGCGCGGTGCCCAGCCACCTTGGCCTGGGAGGACAGCACATCCAACTTCTGGGCGATGGTAATCCGTGGCACCGCCGTGACGTCCACCACCGTGATGCGGTACTGGTTTGCCTCACCGGACGAGGGACGAGGGACGAGGGCCACCACGAGGGACGAGGGAAACCTTTTGCTGTTTTTGATCGGTGCCGTGCATATGGGTCGTATACATCACATACTCTAAGGCTTAATCATTGCATAAAAGATCATACTGTCGCATACCTCCTGAAAGCACCTGTTGCACCGGAAATTTCCAGAAATCATTATCCAGAGTCAGCGGGTCTGTTGTAATCCCAAAGCGATTTTCACGGCGTCTGGTGCCTTCATGATCACATCCTTGCCCTTGTCCTGCAATCGGCCCACCCAGGAGATCAAGACCTGCAATGAAGACACTTCGCATCCATAGCGTCTACGGGACGACCACCACGCAGTGGTAGAGTCCGCGTGAAAGAGTGACCACTACGGGTGAAAATGGGTAAAATGTATGGCCCAAGTGTTTAGAAGTACTAAACTAACTGGATGTTGAGAAGTGCCTCTGCGAGTCAGAGTCTGATGAAAAGTGTCTGAGTGATCACCAATTGTCTGAGTCTGGTGGTCAGATAATCGGGAGAACTATGAAGAACTTGAGTTGGCAAGGGGGAGCACTATTACTACATAGTACTCATATCAAAGTATATACACTCCGACTCATTAACATGGAACCTCTGTAGCCTCTGTGTAAAGGAAGGTAGTCTTCCAAGCGGCCATGTTCCACTTCCGTGTTAGTGAGTCAGAGTGTTTTATAGCGCAAACGGTTGATGAATTTAACATCGCTACTAGGAGCGATCGGACCTGCTAGGGGCTCCTGGCCTTACCACTAGGAGCGATCGGACGCTACTAGGAGCTTTCAACGAGTGAGGTGGCTCCGTGCCTTGCAGTTCATCATCTGGAAGTCGGCCACAGGAGGCTCCAAGGAGAACAGCACCTCATCTTCGGTGTCATCGGAGAGAGCCGGGTTGAATCAGGCTGACTTTCACACGGTATCCTGCGGTATCCTGCGGTTCTTGAAAGGTGCCACTTGCTTTTGACAGAGTACTTCCCTACAAGAATCACTGTGAACATGGGATCCTGGGACTCTCTGTTGGTCGTAGCAAAAACGGAAGGTCTTCGTACACGTACACTTGGATGTTCGGCCGACTCTTTCAGAGGCTCCGATTATGAATGGGAAAGAAAAACATCTATCGCTGTGAGGTATTGACCATAACCTTGCTGATATATTCTGTGTAATTATGTGTATATTAAGTATATCATCTGCATGCATCAGGCAATTCGAAGCAAGGCCGCTAAGGTTTGGCCGCTGATACTCCATCACTCCGGTAAGGTCCGGGGACCCCCCGATCCCATCGATCCTGCCGACGGCAGCATGTCTTGGGAGGTAACGTACTCCACTAGGTTTCCACCAAATACAGGATTGGGACTACCATAGAGTCAGAACTTAAAGTCATGTGTTTGCTCTGGAGCCGAACTCGAAGCCCTTGAACTAAGTTAGCACTGTATCGATTCTGCCTCTCATGGCCAGTCACCAATCCACTCCCGATGTTTCCGTCCTGCCCACGCCTGCCTCACTCTTGTCAATGACCTCGCCACGGCTCAAGACGCTGCAGCCTTTGGCCGTGAAGGCCTCGCAAGATGGATGACAAATGACTGTCAAGAGGGGTTGGCAAGCGAGTACCGTGAACAGAAGTGGCCCGTGCTAATGGTTTGTGAAAACATGGGTTAAGGGTGGTTAAGGTATGTTAAGGTGTCAGTATCGAGCTAATGATTACATCGAGTTCACCTCGGATCCCATATACCAGGTCACCGGCTCGTAATTTGATCAAATGCTTGTCGCGTGATAAAATTCGCGGTCGGCTCACCCTGAGTAATCCTGAGTAATCGATGAAATAGCAGTTTGCAACAGTCAGTCAGTGCCGGCCCTGAAGAGTTAGTGTCTGCTCTCACAGAGTCGACCGCTTTTGTTTAGAAAAAAGATTGGTTGGTCTACAGTGAGGTCATGGTAGTCATCACTGGTCATCACTGGTTGGTAGGTCCTCTGAAATCTCGTGAATGATTCGCAAGATCGAAGCCCTCAGTGCCACTTCGCAGCTCCACCATGGAACTCTCCCTGCAAAGAAACACTGCCAACAATGCCGTTGCACTGGAAACGGTGTACTGGTAACAAGGACGCTACGAACGGAGCTCCTGGCCTTACTACTAGGAGCAATGTTCGCCACTAGGAACAAGGGGCATCGCTACGAACGGAGCAAATAAGCTAACTCCCTGTACTTCTCAATGATGTTCGCTCGTGACCCTCACACCGACGTCGAACGCAGATGTCGAACGCCTCGTCTGAGTAGCCTGCAAAGATCCCTGCGCCTCAGGAGATCACAGGAGTGTTTGCAGTCAGGGTTAGAAGCTAACTCACCCCATACGCTGCAAGTTTCATCCAAGGGAAGAGGCTGAGAGTTGGCAGCATTCTTACGCTGAACCTTGCAAAACCACTCAACTGAACCTCAGCTACACTGACACAAACGTCTACAGTCATGACCGAAGCCACCTAGCATTTTGCAGGAACATCATGTTCCCACTCGCGCAGTGAGTTCTTTCTTGGTTTGAGACTCGACACTCACTGATTCCTTTCTTCCCCACTCAGATGCGCCTGTTAAAGGCAGTCCCTCCCAGTTTCCTCCAGATTCCTCCAGAGTCCGGATCGCTCCAAAACTGACAAAAAGATTCCAGAGAGAAAGGGCCTGCTGTCCGACAAAGCTAGGCTTCATCCAACAAAGCATCCGCCCCGACACGTCCGATGTCCGACAACGGTCGCTTCCGATGGTGGCCTCGCTCCACATAGACGGCATAGCCGTCCTCAAACGATGGAGCATCTTCGCAAAAGGGAGAGAACTTGCCTCAGGGATCTGATTGTCTCTACCTTTCTTCATGATCTTTGAAGGGGCTGTAGTGGAAGTCCTGAGGTGGCATCGTCTCCGGGCACTTTGGTAACTTGTAGTTCAAGAGAAGAGTCCGTTGACTCCAGTAATTGTCGAGGTGGCGACCATGACTTTGTTTTGCCAAGGTCTAGCATCTAGTTTGCGGTTAAACTACAGTGACCCTATCTAATTCCTGAGGTTTGAAGTCAAGCAAACCGCTGACCCTAATCACACCTGGCCCCCATGCAGTCCTTTTCTCTCTCCGTGACCTTAATTGATGGAGTAAGGATTCCGGTCCGTCCTTGATCAAGGATTCCGCGACGTCTGGCACCATGCTGACTCGCTGGTCTCCTGGAGCCCAGTGAGTCGTGACGAGGCGGGGCGAACCCCTGGACATCCGGCACCAGGGTTGGCACATCCATGTTTGGAGGGTCCATGTTCTCAGCTGTACCCATTTTCCTCCACAAACAGGTGGATTTCCCATGTTTTCCACGTCCATTCTTCTTTCAGTGTACATGAATAGGTTCACTCACTTTCATGAGCGAGCGACTACCCGCCGCCCCGCTGCAGCTTGACGACGACTGCCGGCCTTTGCTAATCTTGGCATCTGGACTGTAGCCCTCGCTGAGCACGCCCAGCTTGCAACCAGGAGTGCTGGGCGCTTCCACCTGCCAGAGTCTCCCTCTCGCTGCTGAGGAGAGGGAGTGAGGTCCCAAACTCTACAACAAAAGGCAAACATATTGGATCCAAAGCGTCCACAGTCCACATTTGCAGGACCAACTTCAGATGAACATCTCCTACAACTCACTCCCTCAAAGCCCAAAGCTTTGAAAGGGCCTCTGGGCCCACAAAGGGCTCTCGGTGGAGGAGCACCGCCACGTCAGTCCGTCTCCCCTTCCCACCTTGTCAGCCTTCAGAAGTGGTGTAGCTGACGCCATCCCTGCGCCTGCAGATTCGGCACCAGGGACGCGAATCAAACGATCACATCTGGGTGATTACACACTCTGACCTGTAAACTTCAGCCAGGGAAAGAATCCAGGCAAAACTTGAGAACCCCATACTGGGAAATAATTCCCTCATTACTGACATCCATACCAACCAATTAATCAAGGGTCAACAGTACCTAACAGTACCCACACACATGTTTTAGCTGAAGAATCCCGGATAGCTCCTGCATAGGTCCCTGGAACTTGGGGCCGATCCCAACACGACGCCCAGAAACACGACTGCATTGAAAGGGTCGGGAATGTCTAAACAATCAGGGCCCTAACTTAGGCCCCCTATAGGGATAGAATCCCAACTACCAGTGGATCTACAAAGTGACTCTTTCCTGCCACAGGTTCTGATCGTTTGCCAGGGCATCATGTCTGACATTGAGAAAACTACCTTCCCACCACCTCCCATGGACTTGCCTGCTTGCAGTGGTTCTGGGCAAAACGAACCGGCGGGATGCTGAACCAATCGAGCCGAAAATAGGCTTTGAAAGAAAGGTTCTTTCCGTGTGACAATTTTGTGCGTGCACCTCAAGCTTGAAGTTTGCAAGAGAAAACAAGCAAACGACCGTTGGAACACCCATTGTCAGCTTCAGCATTGCACAAACCATTGGCAGTGCATCCCTTTTTGAACCCTCCCCATGGAACAAAATATAGACATGAAATCCCATGAGTTGCACATCTGCGCGCCACCTCCACTTCCGAACGTCCAGCCACGCCGGTCGCTCCGGGGCCGCGTCGGACCCCGGCGCCGACGGCGCCGACGGGACCGGCGCGTGCATGGCGCGAAGCCGAGCTGGGCAGAGTGCAAGCAATTGGCAAGTGACCTTGACAGATGACCGTTACTGAATGAAAAATCAAGCACTCAGGATAGTTTTGAGATGCTTTAAGATCTTTAAGAGTCAACAGTACGGGTGGGTAAAAAGATATTATATAGGGGAGAGAGAGAGAGAGAGACATGCAAGATAATTATCCCTTTGTGATCCTTTGTGGGGGAGGAAGTTGGACTGATGACCAACATCTTAGAATGGTTCTTGAATGGTTCTTGAGTACACAACTGGTGACCGGTGGACTCCAATAAAATTGCTACTTGGGACTTTGTGTTTGCTTATGAGCCGAGTTTGCTTGATGTTGCTTGAACTAGTTATCCGAAACGACAAATTATTCTGAGCCAAAGCACATCACTGCCACGAGTCGGCGACGAGAAAGACCATCACGCTTCCTACAAGTACTGCACCGCTGCCGCTCGTAGACACGCACGACGAAGACGCGACCGAAGCGACCGACGGACATGTCCGATGCGTCCGCAGCCATTTTCTCCGCGTCCATCGCAGACTACGACGACTGCAGACCCTCGACGACCGGGAGATCCGAGCCTCCCGGGTCTGCCAAGGAAAGGACGGAGCCCCTCCTGGACGGAGCGAGGGCTTGGTGGACCAAAAACCCTAGGGTCGGTCTTTCTTCGCAGCAGCTGTTGGCACCTTTTTGGGGCAATAGATTGTAAAATGGATGCAGTACTTCTTGCTCTGAACACTTAAAAAAGCCTACTTACAAAAAAAAATATATATATATATATTATCAAAATATTACATATATATAGTCGAAATGTTCAGTCCAAGTTCCCCACAACCAGTATTTGCCGTTGCTCTGCAATTACCATAATACAGCGAACAAGCTGGAGTCTGCTCCATGTCATAGAGAACAAATGTTCAATATGGGTGAATAGGCCAGGGAAGGCAGGGCAATGACAAATCTTTACTACTAGTAGCAAGGAGGCTACTAGGAACAAGGTGCATCGCTTACTACTAGTAGCAAATAGAGTAGCAAATAGCTACTAGTAGCTTCTTGTTACAAGTAGCGATGCACTTGCTGCTAGCTGCTAGTAGCACTGGGATGGTTTTGCTGCAGCTCATGGCACCAGGAGACCAACCAGCCAGGACCTATTTGGTTACCAGCTCGTGCGCTACAAATGGACTGCTCAGGCTCATTCGGTTTTGACTGGTTGCCCCGTGTGTGTGTGTGTGTGTGTGTGTGCGTGTGTCACTTTAATACAAGCTTTACGATGTCTTTAGACTTGTGTCTCTTTATACTATCCCCTTTTGTCTCTCCGCTTGAGCTGCTGGGTCCTTTTGGAGTCCTTTTTTGAGTCTCTGATCCCATTTTAAAGATGATGTTCCCAAAGAAAACCGGTCACTGGCACATGATAACAGTCATGAGAAAGGGGGAACCCTTCGCATCGTCCGTATTTCAATCTCCTTCAAAAGTCCTGCAGAAATTGCTCTGTCTTGTCTTTGCTTGTCTTCAACTCCATGAACGACTCGCAATGGCATCATGTAACCGTTGCAAAGCCTTTGCGACCGGGAAAACTTCAAAGCATGCGATCGCATGCAATTTCACGAACAATCTCTTGCTTCGTACCATGCACCGTGCCTTGGCGTTGGTCTCTTCGTTGAAGTCGTCGTTCATGTCATCGGAGTCCCGTCGATCTTCAGTCTTTGACTTTCTCAAGGTTGCTAGCCTCCCCCGGTGGAATCGGAACAAAGTGTCTAAGACATTGGAGAAGGTTCTAACATCTGGCGTGGGATCAAACTCTCTGAAAACCAGGTACTCAGCTATCTATCTCAGAGCACCTTGAAGCGATACTTCTTGCACCACTTCCATGACGCTTGTAAATATATTTATAACATCACAAATACAAAATATATATATATATATGTGTGTGTTATATGATTGATAGACATACACTTCTCTTCAAATCTCTTCACGCACAGTGCTCCGGGCCATCACTGGCTAGGTCCATATCACCAAAGACTTCTCTCATCTTCTCTCCATATCACCTATCCATATCACGAAACGCAGACCTCTCAGAAAACCTTGCCTTGAAAAGCATGTCTTTCTCCTCCACCCGCAACACCCAGCGCTGCTTGGCATTCACGAAGCGCTGGAGCTGTCCCACCTGGAAAAAACCACCACAGCTTTCGCCGCGTGAGAACTTCTCCGCCCCGATGCGAAAGGTGGGGGTGTTTTTGGTGATGTTTCAGGGTGTTGGAACCTTGGCAGTAGACTTGCAATTGGAGCACGTGACAGTCAGGTGGCATGATTCGTCCAAATCTTCTGTAACCATTTGGCACAACGAGAACAGGGGCTGTTTGCTGCTTCTTCCGTCTCTTCGGTGGTAGGGGCGGTGGTAGGGGCGCACCGACTCTTAGGCCCTTTGTCGCCAGAAAGGATCCACCGAAGAAGATAGTGGAGGAAGTCCCAATCGGCTTTCCCATCCGTTGTACCACGCCCACACCATCCATGTTCATTCTCAGACTATTAATATCTTGGTGTCATTTGGTATCATTGTTCATAGATCAATTGCATTTTTCATATTTGCTCATCAAATGTTCAAGATGCAAAAGTCAAGACACCAAAGACTTTTCCCCGGGAAGTTGCGATTTTGATGTCACTCAGCAGTGCCTGCAGAGACCCACAAAAAGTCGTTGGATTCGAGCCGAAACCTTTAAACACCAAAACCATGTAACCATCTGGAACCTAAAAATACCTAAATATAGATTGTAGAAAATATCCTAAAATGTTCTGAAACCGAAACTCTATCTAAGAAGTGGATTGCCAACCTCCAAAAAAAAAGGACCTGAATTACCCATAAAGTGCCACATCTTTCACCCATCTGAACTGCGGCGGGCGCCTTTCCATTGAGCTGCGGCAGCTTCTCAAGGCCAAACACACGGACCTGGCGTCCACAGGAAAGATTCATCAATCAGCCTCTTCATCCTGAGCCTTCAATCCCCTAGTCGTCCCTCTGCCCCTTTTCCTGTGTGTGTTGGTGATTTTTCAATCGTCACGCACCGATTTGGTTTTAAACTGCGCCATGGGCCATGGGGTCGCCCTTTGGTTTCTACTGTTTCAAGTAAGGTCGTCACGTTTTGCCCTGAAAAAACACGGTTTCCCTGATTTGAGGGAACGACTGCAACCGCGTCTGACAATTCCAACATCATGGAACATCCATATTGGCGTGCATCAAAATAAGGACACCTCCCAGTTCGACCGCTGGAAGAAGGAAAAGAGACCAGTCTACCAGTTTGTGGTGGTCCTCTTTTAAATACCCATCCTTATGGGGGTGTAACCTTTGGCAAAATAGAAACAGACTGGTGGGTCCCCTTGTTATCCTTTTTCAAAAAACACATCCACAACCGTCACCTCCGGTCCTTTCGTTAGGCTTTAGGCACCGAAGACCTCCTCCGGTCCCACCTCATCACCCGGTCGGAGCATCTGTCGGCCAGCAGCAGGGCAGACCTGGATTCTGGATTCGGTCGCGACGGAGTAAAGGACGGAGGAAGCCTTTTCGGAAATAGAACATCGCACGGACAATTACAATGAACGAGTCCGTTGATCACCTGTCAACAAACTTTACCTTGTCCCTCGTCTTGCAATTCGCAAAATATTGCCTCGCCCCGTTACATTCCCAGCGACAAAACTCTGGAGGTGTGCAGGAGAGGTCGGGTGATTGACAATCTGGACTTAACTCAAAAATGAAATGACGGCACGGGTTAAACAGAGAAGTGAGTGACGATCCAGACATATAATTGACGGGCCGGGCTAAAATAAAAGTGAAGTGACGGCCTGGGCTTAACTCAGAAATAACGGGCCGGGCTGAACAGAGAAAGGCAAAGCACAGCAACACATCTGCCTCGAGGACCGTGCACATCACGCGCTGTAAATGTCCTTTGCGATATACCAAGAATGGTGTCAACTCAAAGATCAACACCATCCAGCGCCGCCCAGCACCCCATTGATTCTGGGTGATATGCATCGGCATAAGCTCAATACCATAAGCCCACACATGCACATCATCCACAATCCACTCCACCTTCTCAAGGGTTTGCTTTCGCTCTCGCTCAGCTAGCTGCCTCAACCAACATTCAGATACCGGCGCTGCATATTACAAGCGTCATACCAATCGGACTCCAAGGAGATCGATGTCGTCACGCCGCAGCGCCACCAAGACAAGAACGAACAAATCAAAACATAGTACGCAAATACAATCCAAAGGATGGAGATTTTTCCGGCTGTTTTTTCGTTTTTTCTGGGAATTGTTTTCGCGTTTTTTCTGGGAGTGCTTTACAAGCATCAGGAGCAGCAGAAAGGTCAGAGGACGAAGCAGCAGAGCCAGCGGGGGGGAGAGAGAGAGAGAGAGAGACAATGACAAAGGGAGGGAGCAGAAAAGGCACCCACTTAACGAAGGGGAAGTAGGAGTGAGGAAAGAGGAGAGAGGAACTATAATAGAGACTTCTTTGCGGTCGTCTTTGGGTTTCAGAGGTTTCGGGTTTCTTTGGGTTCGGTTTCTTGTCTTTAGGGTTTCTTTGGGCACTTCTGTTAAGCTAAGTAATCTTCGGCTTTTCATATATTATACATAATATATATATATATACGATAACTATTATATGTACCGCGAAGAGAAAGCAAGAGAGAGAGAGAAAGAGAAAGAGAAAGAGAAAGAGGGTGGTCGGAGTGTTGGAGGCACTGGTAATAGCAAGGGTAGTGGCAACCATTTAAAGCGGGAGGGGCGCGGGGAGGGCGCGGCGCCTCCCCCGCAATGCAAAACAAGTATAGACAGCGCTACCAGCGGACCAAAGGACCATAGGTCAGGATTAATTCTTTTGCTTTTGTTCTTTTTTATTGATCATCGTCTCTTTTCTTGTTGCTACTGGCTACTGTTTTCTGATCCTAATGATCTCCTGATGCCCTAAATATTACCCTCGGGTGGCTCACAAAAGGCAAGCACCGTTGGCATAGCACCTTCCGCCCCTAAATTATATTCCCGGGTGGTTCAGAAAAGGTATGAGCCGTTGGACTGGCACCTTCCTGCTCTAAATTCCCGGGTGGCTCGCAAAAGGTATGCACCGTTAGAATGGCACCTTCCTCCTCGTCTAAGCTTTACCTTCGGGCGTCTGCCGTTTGACTGGCACGTTCCTCCTCTAAATTTGACCCTCGAGTAGCCCACAACAGGTCACAAAGGGAATGCACTGGCACAGGCTCTTTACTGCAAGCAGAGCAGTAAACAAAGCTGGCCAATTGCAGCGCTTCAAGCTGGCTTTTTGATGCTTTTTGCAATTGCAAAAGCAGAAACAAGAGCAAGTGCAAAAGCACTTGCTAAAACCGACGCCGAAGCAGGAGCAAGGGCAAGAGCGGAAGCAAAAGCAGAACGCAAAAGCAGAAGCAGACACAGAAGCGAAAGCAAAAAGCAAAACCAAAAAGCAAAAGCAGAAGCAAACAGCAAAAGCAAAAGCAGAAGCAAAAGCTAAAAGCAAAAAGCAGAAGCAAAAGCAAGAAGCAAAGCAGACGCAAAAAGCAAAAGCAGAAGCAAAAAGCAAAAGCAGAACCAAAAAGCAAAAGCAAAAGCAGAAGCAGAAAAAAACAGCAAAAAAAATAAACGTAAAAAACTAAAAATCCCAGAGAAATACCGGCTCCAATCCAAACCATGCAGAAGGCAAGCTTGTCCATAGAGCGCGTATTCCAAGCATCACCGCCTCACAACTGACAGATTACACCATTATAACGCCAGCAAATACAACAGTAGCTAAGACGTCCCTTTTTTGACAACCCTTTGTCACACCAGCGATGGCTGGTCAGTTGCGTGGTGGAAGCAGCACAAACGTTAGCTCCGGACCAGGTATCTACACTGCCAAATCGAAGCCCAGTAAAGAGCCAAATCGAAGCCCGGTAAAGAGCATCATTGAAATACACAGAGAGCACCTGTAGATAGAATCCTGCTCATACAAAAGGAATTATGCAAAACGGCTGCAATGGTATCCAGACAACCTTCCGCTTAAGCACCTGCGCAACAAAGTCAACATCCCTCACAAAATATGTGAACCACAGACAAAGTCAGTTAAGAGGGTTTCCGGACCACATCCGGACGAGGTACCTCACAGTTCATGACAAGCGCACGGGATTCTTACTCTCGGCCGTAGTAGTAGCGGCATTAGAAGTACTAGTGCTAGTGCTAGTGCTACTGTTGGTAGTAGTAGTAGTAGTAGTAGTAGTAGTAGTAGTAGTAGTAGTAGT